ACCTGGTTCTTTTGGGAGATTTTAATGCCCACTTGCCTTTTTTCCCTCCATACCGTCTCAACCCAAGAGGAAAATCTCTCATGGACCTTATTGAAACAAGAAACTTAATAGTTATGAATGAGGACATTCCCACCTATAGATCCCCGGCGAATGGAGCAGAAAGTGTTCTTGATCTTATCCTCTTATCGCCTGCCATGGCGGGCTTTTCGTTCTCGGAAACTCTTCCCGACCATTTCGGCAGTGATCATTTTCTTGTCTCTCTCACCATTGATCTGGAAACTCAGTCTGCCTGCAATAGCTCACATAGGCTTAGACTGGACAAGGTGGACTGGTCCTACTTCTCCATTCTCTCGGATCACTTTATTGATTCTCTTCCGCCCTTTAGAAATTCTAATATCAGGGAGCGCTACGACTCGTTCATCGAATCCATTATCCGCAACCTAAAACAGGCTGGGGCCTATCTACCAAGCGCCTCCAGAAGCCGCTCTCCGATCAAACCTACCTGGTGGTCGCCGGAGTGTGATGGAGCTTTGGCGGATAGAACTTTGGCCAGGAGAAACTACATCTCTGATCCCAGTACGTCCAATTACGAGGAATATTTGAGGGTTGTAGAGAGGTCGGGCTCTATGTTGAAGAACATCAGACTGGAATCATTTAAGCTTCTTTGTAGCTCTATTTCTCCTCAGATGGGCTCTAAAAGAGTTTGGGGCTTGGTCAGAGCCTTCCAGGGCAAGCTGCCCCCCACCATGAATGCATCTAATGACCCTGACGCAGCGGCTTTCGCGGATTTGAAGAGAGAAATTGTTAGGGAAGAGGTTTCCCCTATTGAATTTCAGATGATGCCGGTGTTGCGAGAGGAAGACCCGTACAACCTCCCTTTTTCACGCGATGAATTGAATTGGGCCATCAACCTATGTAAAAAGGACTCTGCGCCTGGAAAGGATCAAATTCCGAATATTATTTTTCGCAAACTTCCCCTCTCAAGTCTTGAAGAGTTGAGGGATATCCTTAATGTGTGCTTTCGCTTTTCTATCTTCCCTGATTCCTGGACGGAATCTTTAGTTAAATTTATCCCCAAACCTGGGGGCAAGGGGTACAGACCAATCTCTCTTACTTCTTCAGTTGGCAAGCTAATGGAACGCTTAATTCAAAAAAGGCTGGATCACTATGTGGAATTTAACCGCTTGATTCCCCCCCACCAGTTTGGTTTTAGGAAGAACAGGTCAGTTACCGATTGTGTCTCGGTTCTTGTGGTTGATGTTCTCAAGGGGTTCACCTTGGGCCGGGGTACGGCTGCCCTTGCTCTCGATCTTAAGGGGGCTTTCAATGCCCTCCTTCCTTCTAAGATTCTTGACCATCTTGCACGCTGCGGTACTCCGACAAGGTTGAGAAACTTCGTCGCACACATGGTTTGTAGAAGGAACATCTCATTTAAGGAGGACGACCTAAGGACCTATGAATGTGGGGTTGGAGTTCCACAGGGAGGCGTTCTCTCCCCGTTGTTATTTAACTTAGCTTTGAGAGACATTTGCTCACGTCTTCCACCAGGGGTGCGAATTCTTCAATACGCCGATGATATACTACTTTACTGCCGTTATACTTCCGCAACGGACGCCCTAAATCTCTTGGCTCAAGCAGTGCGCTCTCTCTCTCCGTGGTTGCTTGAGGCTGGTCTTAACTTTTCCCCTTCGAAGAGTCAGCTCTGCCTCTTCGATAGAAGGTCTCTTGTTGATCAGCAACTTCGCCTGGAACTAGAGGGTCAGGAGATCCCTATTGTCGATTCCATCATGTATCTGGGTATCCTTCTAGACTCCAAGCTTTCTTGGAAACTGCACATTGAATACATTGCTGCGAAAGCTTTCAAAGCTATCAACGTTTTAAAAGTGCTGGGAGGAGTTTCCAAGGGCGCAAACCCGGAAACCTTACTACTGATTTACAAGGGGCTGATTAGGGCTCATTTGGAGTGGGGTTCTATTCTTTTCGCCGGAGCTTCCAAAAGCACGTTAGCAAAACTGGATAAAGCGCAATACAGGGCCTTAAGGTCGGCTTTGGGTTTTATGCGTTCCACTCCGATCCCTATAGTTTTGTCAGAAGCTAATGAACCTCCTCTCCACTTTAGAAGGAATCTTGCCTTGCACAGAAACGCGATTAGAATTTGCTCCTGGAGTGATAACCCTACGGCAAAAAGGCTTGCCCATTTGGATCTAAAAAGCAAAAGTCAACGAAATTTTCCTAAGTACGCCTCATCCCTACCTTTGCTCGTCCACCTCAGACCTACTTATGATATTTTTGATACACCCAAAAAACCGAGTCGGCCTGGATACTACAACCAAGTTTGGTCTGACCTGATGTTTGAGCTGTCTCCTCTTATTGATCTCAAGGAGGGGTTTAATATCAGGAGATCAAAGTCACATCAGACTTCTTTAAACGATTTTCTCCAGGCGCGATATCCGAACTTTACGTCTATTTTCACAGACGGGTCGTACAAATTGTCTAATGACGAAGCTGGTGCCAGTTTTTTCGTTCCAGGTCTTAATTTCAGGCATGGCACTAAAGTTAGGGGCTGCTTTTCGTCTACTTCTGTGGAGCTTTTCGCCATATTTCAGGCTTGCAAATATGTCAGGGATTACAATATAAATAAATCCATTATCTGTACGGATTCTCTTGGTTCCCTCTCTGCCTTGAAGGATAGGGTCGCAAACTTCTCCCTTGACCCCATTATTCATGATATCGTTAACATCATTATCAATATCACTAAGAAAGGTCAACTGATTAATTTCTTATGGGTCCCTGCCCACCTGGACCTGGAGGGTAACACTGAAGCCGACCGTCTTGCTAAAATGGCTGCTACTCTTGATATTAGTAATACCCCTTTTACGGGCTATCTTTCTCATCCTAGTATGGAGGAGATTAAAAACCTCATTGAAAAGGACCATCAAGCTAGTTTTAACATTCAATGGCCATTTTTCGATCCCCGAAGATGCTCTCAGATATATTTTGAATATGTGAACCATAAGGTGGATAGACCTTGGTTTCGGAGCTTTGATCTACCTAGGAATTATATCAACCTGGTATCCCGTCTCAGGTCGGGCCACATATGCGTCGGCGCACACTTTCTGCGAATGAACTGGAATATCCCCCCCCATTGCTCTTGTGGGGAGGGCATAGGTTCTATTCCTCATCTGCTCAACCACTGCATTTTACTTAATCCTGGCCGCTCGAACTTCATTAACTTTGTCAGGAAAAAGTTCAATGATATTTCCAACCTGGAAGCAAAACTTATTGCTCTTATATTCCATCCAGACCTAGAATCTGTCTCGGAGTTAGGGGATTTTTTTATTGGGCGCGGTGTACTAATTTAATCTCACCTACCTCCGTAGTTATTAAATTTGTTTACTTTATTTCTATTAGTTTTTTAAGCTTTAGCACGTAGGATCCTAGGTTAAGTTACACTTGTTATTGTTTCAAAGTTTAGTTTTTAGTTAATCTAAGGGTTTTATCTAGCCGCCAAGGCGATATATTTATTTTACATCTGTCTCAGGCCTCTAGCTCGGACCCGATCTACACATCATGCTTCTCACACACTCGGACTTCCCATCCCTGCGGCTTCACCTCGGGACGGCTCAGTGGTGCCCTCGCGGGGTGGCGCCATGGGATCACATCGGTGAGCAGTTGCATCGATCTTGTTCATTGAGTTGTTATTGTTACGTCTATAAGTTTTGAAAATGCATTGTTTGTACTGCTTATTATAATTCACTTTGGTTCGGTTGGGAGGGGGGCTCCCATCTATGCTTCTAATTTTCCTTTCCACGCATCCATTGAGCTTTACAAATACCTCGTTTCTCCACAACCTTGCTGCAAGCAACATACAAAGTCTCCATCACACATGCGTGCTTCAACACGGTTGCTTCGACACTGCCTGCTCGCTCAACCTGCTTTGGACTGGACACAGCTATTATACTCACGCCTTGCTTCACGATACAATCACCTATTCTCACACCACTCTGATGCAAACAACATACATAAACAACGTTACACTTGTGTGCTGCGCTTTAATCTTTTTTCTAAGACTACTTCGGACTCGATACAACCTTTCTTCTTATACTTTGCTTCAAGTTACAAGTTTTCATTCTACATTAGAATGGTTTTCACCACATTGTTATTTTGATTCAGGACTTTGTGTGCATTCACCACGTCTAAGAACTATAGTTTCATCGAATTGGCCTGATATTATCGAAGCCACACCATATACAATTTTTTTTTGAAGAAGAAGAAGAAGAAGAAATGATTCCCCCAATTCTTGATTTACCAAATAAATTTATGTTAATCTGAACTTTAATTGATAAATCTACACCTGATATATTTGATTTTTTTGGAGTTCAAATAAACTCATTGATAAGATTTTTTGAAAATATTCAGAATTGTAATGATTTTTCCAATTCTTGATTTTTCTAAACAATTTACGTTATTTGAACATTAATTGATAAATCTTGACCTAATTTTTTTGATTTTTTTGGAGTTCAAGTAAACTCATTGTTAAAATTTTTTGAAAATATTCAGAATTGAAATGATTCCCCCAATTCTTGATTTACCAAAAAAATTTAGGTTAATCTGAACTATAATTGATAAATCTTGACCTACACTGTAAAAAAAATTGGTTGAAATTTACTCTTTCCAACGTAGGAAAATATGGTCACTATGTGCAACGGTGTGATTTTACAAATGGCTTGTTTTTATACATAACCTGCATGTAATTTTCAACCTCAAATGTAAAATAGATGGCGTTTTGTTGAAAAACATACCGCATGTAATTTTCTTTTATGCATGTAATTTAACCTAAAAATTGAGTAATAATACTTCTTAAGTGTATATTTTCATGTTTTCTGTGTAAATAAACATTACATATTTTTTTAAATGTATTTTTAAGGAATAAAAAGTATATTAAATTTAGTGATAATTAAAAGCTAATAATTAGTAATAAAGTAGCAGTAAATTAACAGTAGCAGTAAATATATTATTAATATTCATTTATTTTTTCAAAACATTGTATACATGAAATTTAATTTTTTCCGACGAAAAAGTAGTTTCATCATTTTTTATTCCAACAGGTTCTCTGTAACAAGTTTAAATTTATAATAATTAATTTTGAATAATTAAACAACTTTTTAAAATATTACATAGGATTTAAAATTAAAATAAATAGAATTTAAATGAAAAATTGAATTTAATATGGAAATTAAAATGCTATTACACATTAAATAATTTTAAGCTTGCGTAAATACCTTTATGTGTGGAATTTCAAGCTGCTATTAATTTTTGCCTATTTGTTTATTTGTTGAAAAATTTTCTGCTGTTCCCGTTGGCGTATAAAATTTAAGTTAAGGTGCAAATATCAATTGCATTTTTTACTTCAGCTGGTTTTTAGTTTATCTGGAAAAAAATTTAAACTTTATCTTATAAACTTTTACTCATAAAATAATTACAAATTGATGTAATTTGATTGTAATTATAAATTGATGTAAATACCTTGTTCATTTATTTCTTTTTTTTCTTATTCTCTGAGGCAGTATGAAGAGTTATTTGATTAATTTTTCAAATACTTTTCCATTTTAAATCCCTTTTAATATTATTCTGTAACTTTTTCTATAATTTTAAAGTTATTCAGTTTATTTGTCAAACTGAATACTTTATTTCTCGATGTATTCGAGTCCTTGGCTTTATTTCCTTTTTGTGGATCTATGCCCATTACAATTCTTTGGACAAAATCTAATGTTATTGAATTAGTTTTTGGGAAAGATTTATTGAAAACAAAAAACGATGCAAACAGTAATTCCAACGCTTTCAGAAAAGTACAGTTTTCATCAACCAAGATTGTCTGAATGCCGAATAAATACCCGTCATTATTGTCTGAAAATAATATAATTTATTAATTTCTGCTTTGGATCCTAATAGAAAAAGAAAAGTGAATTTATTATTTCAAAATACATAATACTTACTTATTGGAACAATCCAAGCAAATTGTTCGTCATTAGGAATACTTAAATCGATAATGGATTCTACTTCCTGGAAAACATTATATTAATCATGTTAAAAGAACTTATACTGTTTATGAATGTAAATGCTTAGAATTTAAATATATGAAAATTATATTTACCGGTAATTTTTTAAATAAAAGATCATGGTCCTCTTTGAAAAATGTCGCCAAAATGCGAAAAAGTTCCTCGTCGGTCATTTCATTGTTGGATGAGATGTTCTTAAAATGTCCAAAAGCAAAAATTTTTTCGTTCACCTCATTTAAAGTTGTAGACATTTTATCAATAGAGTGACCCATTAATAATTTATAATGCCATAATAAAAATTCTTTCATCAATAAAATAGGCCAGTTATTGGCAATTTCGGTTGCTGTTGGTGGACTGGCAAAATTATTTAAAAAATGTCTTTGATTAGCGAAAGTAAATAAAAATTCTTTTTCTGCTTTCTGCCTTTTTCCTTCGCTGCTCATATTTTTATATTCTTCAGTTGTTTCAACTTCTTGTCCTTGCATTTCTTTCGCCCAAGTGTAAAGAAATGACTTTTTATCAAGTAGTTGTTGTGGGGTTAGTTTTAACTCTGGTTGCCATTTAATGCAACCAGCTTCAGCCATTTGCCTCTTCCTTAAATTTTTAGTTTTTATACCAAGAGTCGATGACAAAGTTGGATATTCGAAAGGTCTCTTCAAAAGATTTTTTCTGTTTTTAATTTTATTTGCAGTTAAACTGAAACCATTTCCTAATCTTTCTCCTTTATGATTAACATCCTCAAAAATCTGTGGGTATTTATCCAATAGTTGTTTTGCTGCTATCTTGCTAGCTTGCATTGGAATGTCCTTGGTAATGCTTCGCATTTGCTCAACAACTTCATTTATTAAATATGTTCTTAGTCTGGTCAATGATTTAGCTTTTTCACCTTCTGTAAGTTTGTTTTCGTTAATATTCCGTATTAATTTTTCACATTCTTCGATTTTGATTGTGCTGATATTCCTCCATTCTATTTTGAAGTCCATCCACTCGTTTTCCGTGGTCGTATTTGCAGAATCACATGAATTTTCGAAATCTGGTGTTGATGGGCCAGCATGATTTATTCGTTCTTCTTCTTCTTCTCCTTCTTCTAGTAAAATTGGGTCATTATTAATATCAGGAATTATTCTCTCTTGTATTAATTTCCTTTCTGTTGCTGGATCATTAATTTCACGGATTTCTTGAACGTGTTGTCCGGAAAAATCAGATGTTTCCTGCCTCGAATGCAATGAATCCTGTTTAGAAGTATCATTGGTGTTAACTGGAGCTGTAATTTTCGAATTGTCGTCTTTTCCTTCCTCTGATATCGGACTCCACGTCTCATTTTCTTGGAGGATCATGAATATTTCACCATCATTTTGAAACGCATCTAAAATTTCGTCATCATCTACCTCTGTCCCATCTTTTGCTACCACGATAGATGTACCAGCAATTTGTAATTTATCATTTGCCTTTATCAAAACTTTTTTGAGAAGGTTGTCCAGACTTGTTAGGACGACTGCTTTTTTAGAACGGCAATCGTGCGTCCAAACCTTGAACACTTTCGGCATCTAAAAAGAAGAAAAGCTATTAGTTACATCCAATGTTAACAAATAAAGTCTATAAAGTTTATTTAATAAAAAAATTTAATTTTTTTTTACAAGAACAATTATGTATCCGTCCATGAGTGTTGTAAGTATACTCTTATGTGAAAAGCTATTTCCGATTCACTCGGATTTACATTTTCTTATGATACATAGTGAATGTCCATACGTTATGTAAGAATAAGAAGCAAATAAATAAATTCAACGAAGAACTTACTCATTTATAAATCTGGATCAAAAGGTGCATATTTCGGTAAGAAAATAGGAATCGCTTTTATAATGATTTCTGGAAATGGATCGGGAGATAATAATGAAGAAAATGGAAAAATTTTTTGTGGAACAGAATTTTGCAATTCATTATGAATAATTTCTAGTACACCTAAATCATCATTCTCAATAACTTCGAACTGTTTACCCATAAAGAACAAATTATTTAAATTCTTCTCTACTAAAATGTGATTAACTCTACAAATTTGGAAATTTCCATACACACTCTTACCAATGCACACACAGTCATTTTTTTTATAAGGAATATCTCGAAAAGTTACTTTACTTGCAGAGTTTTCAAATAAATTATGATCTTCTATTACATCATTTAAAAATTGAAAAACATTAAAAGGTAATTCTTCACTAACATCAATTATTACGCGTGGTTCTTCAAATTTGTGTAATAAATCATTCATCTGATGTTTTTCAGCTAATGATTTTGTTACATTCTTGAAATTAAGGGAATGTTTTATGTGATTTTTAAAGAATCTATGTTTGCTTTCATTTCTCAATGTTGAAGAATATTTCAGTGGTCCAAATACTTTATTTAGGTCTGAGTAATGCTCAACATAATGGTGTTTTGGTCGTAACTTCACTTGAGGAAAACATTTTATTCTTAACTGCATATATTCTTCTGTAGTTTCTTTAAATTGAGCTAACTGTCCAAAGGATAAAGCAGGAGCGTAGGCAAAACTAGAAATCTCTCTGAGTTTTAATACCATTCTCCAGACTGGGTCCTCTGCATCCTTAACAGCATGACAAACAGCTACAGGAAATATCAGGAGTAATTTTCTGATTTCACTTGCGCTACCACTTATTTTTAATTTTTTTACATCGATAAAGGGAATTTTGTCTGACATAGTGTCGGTCGACAAATTAACTCGTCTCAAATTATAATTAAGTGCATTAATATGAAACCAGCGATGTTGAATGAAATATTTAATAGCCAAAAGCAAGTCATAAGGAGCAATTCCCTCATATATATCATGCGCTGCACAAGGCGGCAATCCTGGTTTGCATGTTTTAAAATTTGTTAAAGAATTTAAAGGCGAATTTTCCCAAATACCTTGAACAATTTTTCGACTTTTTTCTGCTTCTTCAGCTGACTTTTCATAATTTTCAGGCGTTCTTAATTCTTTTATACCATAATTATTTAAAAGCAAATCTCCTCTAGTTATCAAACAGAATCGACAAAAGTATTTCGATTTACTGAAATTTTTAGTGAAACCTCCTATATCGTGACTCCCTAAACCATCACCTAGCATAAATAATAAGCTACCTTTAAAGTGAAAGTTTATACCTGATTGTGTAAAGTTTATCCCTTTTGTTTCTAGAATTTTTAAGTCTTCAATGATATTTTTTAAAAACAAATGCCAACCAAATTGTTTCACCAATTTTTCTTTGCATAACGCTACAAGTTTAATACTGTTTACTTGGGAACGCATATAAGAAGGCAAATTACCTAAAGTCATGTAAACCCCAACAATTTTGTATTTAGATTTGGCGGATCCTAAAGGGTTACAAATTTCGAACGCATCTTGAAATAATATTATTTCAAGAGCATTATCTTTAAAGAAAGGATTATTTTGTACAATACTTCCATCAGAAATATCGAAAAAACCTTTTTCGTTTACTGGAATTTCATTACTTAGGCAGTATTTACGTACAAGCTCATTTCTTAATAGTTTTTCCAGCGTTTTTAAAATTGGTACATAGTGGTACACAAATTTTTTACCTTCGTCGCTTGGAAATTCAAATTCAATTGGTTTTATATAATTAAAATTTTTTTCGTAAAAAACTTTTCTACTATATGAGTTTCTAAGAACACCCCTAGACTCATCATGAGCATCTGCATTACCACTAAAACTTTCCTTCAACATTTCTAAAACTTTACTTTTATATTCTGCAGGAATGTTTGATTCTTCAAGGCAAGAATGAAATTTCATAAAACAACAATTCAAAGATGAAGACATTCCTTGCAAAAACGTTTGAATAATAGATTCTGAAGCACAGTGTTTAGTTGACAATATTAAATACAATTTCCCGAACATTTCGGTAACATTTGTTTTATTTGTAATTGATGTAAGTGTAGAATCATTTATTTCAACATTAAATTCAGTTAAACTTTCGTTTTCTGTAACACTATGACATAATCCATCTGTAAGTGATGTATGAGTAGAATTATTTATTTCAACATTAAATTCTGTTGAACTCTCGTTTTCTGTAACAATGTCACATAATTCATCTGTAATTGGTGTAAGTGAAGAATCATTTATTTGAATATTAAATTCTGTAAAACTCTCGTTTTCTGTAATATTGTCTTCAAAATTTTTCTCAAATTTATGCCACCTATAAAAATGAATTAGAAAAGAATTTACATTGTAAAATTTTTTACCAGAATTTTCACAAGAAGGAAATGAACAAAACACTTCATTTTCGTAGGAAAAGTGCTGTAATATATGCTTTTTTAAATAATCCTTATTTTTAACTGTGAAATTACAACCATGTTGCCTGCAAGTAATTGCTGTTTGTGCATTTTTTTCAATAAATAAAAATTTTTTGTGCATAAGATTGTTGTGCTTTCTAAATTTAATATAATTCAAGAATACTGCTTTACAATTTTTAACTTTGCAAACAAAGACAGCATTTCTTAATTGTGAATGGCGGAAAGTATGTTGATTATAAAGATACACTTTAGAAAATTGTAATGAGCAAAAGTTGCAACTTATCATATTGAATAAATTTCAAAAATTGAAAATATGCTATTTTTATTGAATTGATAATTAGAAAAAGGGAAAAAGGATTCCAGAAATATGTCATTATATCCAAAACATGATGAACAAAGCCTCCATGACGATTTAATTTCCAGTTTGTTAACTGCAATACATATCTTTATTATTATTTTTTAAAAACCAATCATTCTATTCATTTAAGATTTTTTATGAGCCGAAAGTTCTGAACGTTCATATGAACGAAATATTTTTTTCAATCTATAAATTATTAAAAATTATGATGACCATGTAAAATAAAACAGTAAATTAAACAATTATTAAATTAATAACTTCTTTTTAGATATTTTAAACAATATTTTGTAATAAAATTCGTACTTAAAGAAGTTGCAAAAAAAAATTTCGTTCATATGAACGTTCAAAACTTTTAGCTCATGATTTTTTAGGTTTACTATAACTGTTATGATTTCCGAGACAACTTTTTCATATACAAATATAATTTATTTCTAATTGAAAAATAGTATTTAATGAAACTAAGGTTTCTTCAAACTTCTGAAAAAAAATTATAATTCATTTTTGGAAATTGATTTCATCGAAAACGAGAACACTATCAAACGGTTTACATAATTTAAAGTTTATTTTATTCATAAAAAAACAGGTCTCAAATCGACTTTTAGGCAATTAATAATAATTAATAATTTTTTTCATTATTTAGTACTATTAGATATTTAATGAACGTGAATTTTTTATTAACCACAATAATTCATAAAAAATTTTGAGAAATTTCATTTATTCTACTTTAATATACACATTGAAGAGAACATTTTTTAAAATATTGCAATTGTCTTTGTTCTTAAAATTATTAAGGTCTGATTTATGACCATATTGTACTTTGAAAGTTGAAATAAATTTTACTTTATAATAAAACATAATTGCCGGCTTGAGCGTCCGTTTGGTTCTTGAATAGGCGGTAGAAAATGTAAAAAAGGGGCTTAACTTACTCAAAGATTAATAAATTCACTTACTTTAAAATCCTATTCTATTTGTAAAAACCTCCACAACACTTCATCTGAATAAAATTATATATTTGAAAAATAAAAAAACCAAGTGCGTGCTCAGCAAAGCGTATCACAAAGGAATAAAATGGCTGCGTACCTTCTTTCCAGTTGAACATTTTGAGCATGCGCGAACGCATCTTCGACACAACCCTTGTAGTAAATATACTACGTCCAACCAATAATATTGATGTTTAAAATTACATGACGAATGTTTTAATTTATGGACTTTTTTTACAGTGTATATTATGTGATTTTTTTGGAGTTCATGTAAACTCAATGTTGAAAATTTTTTGAAATATTTAGAATTGAAACGATTCCCCAATTATTGATTTTTCCAAAAAATTTAGGTTAATCTGAACTTTAAATGATAAAGCCTAACCTAAATTATTTGATTTTTTTGGAGTTCAAATAAACTCATTGTTAAAAATTTTTGAAAATATTCTGATTAAAAATGATTCCATCAATTCTTGATTTTTCCAAAAAATTTAGGTTAATCTGAACTTTAATTGATAAATCATAACCTACATTATTTAATTTTTTTGGAGTTTAAGTAAACACATTGTTAAAACTTTTGAAAATATTCAGAATTGAAATAATTCCATCAATTCTTGATTTTTCCAAAAAATTTAGGTTAATCTGAACTTTAATTGATAAATCATGACCTAACTTATTTGATTTTTTTGGAGTTCAAATAAACTCATTGATAAAATTTTTTGAAAATATTCAGAATTGTAATGATTTTTCCAATTCTTGATTTTTCTAAACAATTTACGTTATTTGAACTTTAATTGATAAATCTTGACCTAATTTTTTTGATTTTTTTGGAGTTCAAGTAAACTCATTGTTAAAATTTTTTAAAAATATTCTGATTAAAATTGATTCCATCAATTCTTGATTTTTCCAAAAAATTTAGGTTAATCTGAACTTTAATTGATAAATCTTGACCTATATTATGTGATTTTTTTGGAGTTCATGTAAACTCAATGTTGAAAATTTTTTGAAATATTTAGAATTGAAACGATTCCCCCAATTATTGATATTTCCAAAAAATTTAGGTTAATCTGAACTTTAATTGATAAAGCCTAACCTAAATTATTTGATTTTTTTGGAGTTCAAATAAACTCATTGTTAAAAATTTTTGAAAATATTCAGAATTGAAATGATTCCCCCAATCCCTGATTTACCAAAAAAATTTAGGGTAATCTGAACTATAATTGATAAATCTTGACCTAAATTATGTGATTTTTTTGGAGTTCAAGTAAACTCATTGTTGAAAATTTTTTGAAATATTTAGAATTGAAACTATTCCCCTAATTATTGATTTTTCCAAAAAATTTAGCTTAATTTGAACTTTAATTGATAAATCTTGACCTAATTTTTTTGATTTTTTTGGAGTTCAAGTAAACTCATTGTTAAAATTTTTTGAAAATATTCAGAATTGAAATGATTCCCCCAATTCTTGATTTACCAAAAAAATTTAGGTTAATCTGAACTATAATTGATAAATCTAGACCAGATATATTTGATTTTTTTGGAGTTCAAATAAACTCATTGATAAAATTTTTTGAAAATATTCAGAATTCAAATGATTCCCCAAATTCTTAATTTTTCCAAAAAATTTAGGTTAATCTGAACTTTAGTTGATACATCTTGACATAATTTATTTTATTTTTTTGGAGTTTTAATAAACACATTATTGAAAATTTTTTTAAAATATTTAGAATGAAATAATTATCCTAATTCTTTATTTGTCCAAAAAATTTAGGTTAATCTGAACTTTAATTGATAAATCATAACCTACATTATTTGATTTTTTTGGAGTTCAAGTAAACTCATTGTTCAAATTTTTTGAAAATATTCAGAATTGAAATGAGTCCCCCAATTCTTGATTTACCAAAAAAATTTAGGTTAATCTGAACTATAATTGATAAATCTTGACCTAAATTATGTGATTTTTTTGGAGTTCAAGTAAACTCATTGTTAAAATTTTTTGAAAATATTCAGAATTGAAATGATTCCCCCAATTCTTGATTTACCAAAAAATTTAGGTTAATTTGAACTTTAATTGATAAATCATAACCTACATTATTTTATTTTTTTGGAGTTTAAGTAAACACATTGTTAAAACTTTTGAAAATATTCAGAATTGAAATAATTCCATCAATTCTTGATTTTTCCAAAAAATTTAGGTTAATCTGAAATTTAATTGATAAATCATGACCTAACTTATTTGATTTTTTTGGAGTTCAAATAAACTCATTGATAAAATTTTTTGAAAATATTCAGAATTGTAATGATTTTTCCCATTCTTGATTTTTCTAAACAATTTACGTTATTTGAACTTTAATTGATAAATCTTGACCTAATTTTTTTGATTTTTTTGGAGTTCAAGTAAACTCATTGTTAAAATTTTTTGAAAATATTTTTTTGGAGTTCAAGTAAACTCAGTGTTAAAATTTTTTGAAAATATTCAGAATTGAAATGATTCCCCCAATTCTTGATTTACCAAAAAAATTTAGGTTAATCTGAACTATAATTGATAAATCTAGACCAGATATATTTGATTTTTTTGGAGTTCAAATAAACTCATTGATATAATTTTTTGAAAATATTCAGAATTCAAATGATTCCCCAAATTCTTAATTTTTCCAAAAAATTTAGGTTAATCTGAACTTTAGTTGATACATCTTGACATAATTTATTTTATTTTTTTGGAGTTTTAATAAACACATTATTGAAAAATTTTTTAAAATATTTAGAATGAAATAATTATCCTAATTCTTTATTTGTCCAAAAAATTTAGGTTAATCTGAACTTTAATTGACAAATCATAACCTAATTTTTTTGATTTTTTTGGAGTTCAAGTAAACTCATTGTTCAAATTTTTTGAAAATATTCAGAATTGAAATGATTCCCCCAATTCTTGATTTACGAAAAAAATTTAGGTTAATCTGAACTATAATTGATAAATCTTGACCTATATTATGTGATTTTTTTGGAATTCATGTAAACTCAATGTTGAAAATTTTTTGAAATATTTAGAATTGAAACGATTCCCCCAATTATTGATTTTTCCAAAAAATTTAGGTTAATCTGAACTTTAATTGATAAAGCCTAACCTAAATTATTTTATTTTTTTTTGAGTTCAAATAAACTCATTGTTAAAAATTTTTGAAAATATTCTGATTTAAAATGATTCCATCAATTCTTGATTTTTCCAAAAAATTTAGGTTAATCTGAACTTTAATTGATAAATCTTGACCTAAATTATGTGATTTTTTTGGAGTTCAAGTAAACTCATTGTTAAAATTTT